CTCCATGACACTGTGATATAAACATCAAACTTAATCTATGTGTATTTCTTCAAGGCTAAAGCTCTCAGAAGACCTGAACTCAGCAGTGTGAGAGAGGGGAACGCTTGCTTTTTGCTGACTGTGGCCAACCATGGCATTGGGAGGCAGGAAGAATGGAATAAAGATAAACAGGTGGACTTTGACGTCAATAGCCTGAGTCGCAATCTTATAAACTCTACTTACTACCTGTTAACTTTGGAAAAGTTTCTTAACTTCTTGAGATTCAATTTCCTCAAGTATAAAATAGATCATTAGAAGGAACAAGCAATTAATGAACATAAATGGTAGCTATTACTATTTGGAAAGTCTCAAATATTAGTTTTATTTTGTCTTTGTCAGTTTATAAGTGTTCATGCGCTCCTTGTTTCTTATTTGTTTGGGAAATGTGTGACGTCAGACTGACATTTTGACATTACAGGTGAGGAAAGCAAGGCTCAGGATCTGCCCCACTAGTTGCCAGGAAGTAGCAGAGCTGGAACTGAGCCACTTTTCCCGGTTCCGGAGCAACATCTGGCCTCCTGAAGCTCCCATCGCCTGCTGCCACAGGTCGCCAATGTTTGGCCTCTCCTGGTCTCAGCGCCTCCTCTGCATTAGCATCCCTGGTGATGGACCAGGCCCTGGTGCGCTCGCAGGGCAACTCATAATTGCTCTGCAAACAACGGCACTGCCCGGCTTGCTAATAGAAGGTACCCAAAAGTAAGAACAGGGGCTCTTACTCAGAACAGGGGTCATCCCTGCCCTAGCTGCTTGATGTCCCCGATGCCCCCGATTAATTTGACACTCTTGATATTCCAGACCGTAGGACTGGTTTTGAGTTAAGTGCTGTCCGCTTAATTTGCTCTCACCTGATGCATTGTGACCCTGCTCTGTGCCTTCTCTGTGACCTGAGTTATGCAGCGTTCAGCAGTGGCGGCTGCAAGGACACGAGAGGAGGGGAGGTTGCTAGGAATCACACCCTGTCCGTCCTCGCCCCAGCCTCCCGTCCGCGCAGACACACAGACACGCATGTGCACGCGCACGCGGTGAGCCTCGCGCCCTCCCCCGTGTTGGAACGGCGTCTCCACAGTGCCGGACAGACACTGTTTCACTTGGAAGAGTGTTCCATTTCTACCCCTGAAAACCTTGTCAGGGTCAGAAACAGAAGCTGTGCCTCTGCAGTGCCATCTGGTAAGGTAACCGAGCCAGCCGCCCTGGTGGAGTAGCCGGTGCTCCGCAGGGCTCAGGGGAGGATTTCGGGGTCCTCCTCGCGAGGAGTGCCAGGAATTAGCCACCTCCCCTGACCACAGCCGTCCTCTTTCGGATGCACTCGTCCCGGGTGAGACACGCATGCTCACAACCACCTGCCTCAGGTCCTGACAAAGCCCTGGCTCAGTCAACGAGGAGTTCAATAATCTCCGTGCTTGCCACTGTGGGCAGTAATATCTGACTCGTCTTTACCCAACCCCGGGCAATTTCCCTTCGTCTTCACAGCAGCACTAGTAGAATCCATCTAATTGCAAGTTCCTGCAATAAAACATATTATCGGATGAGATCCGTTGTGTTCAGGGTGGTGTGGCTGTAGATAAAACATGTTATCAACGTAAACACAGGATGAAGAGAGCCTTCGTGTCCGCCTCCTCCAGCAGGGCCGGAGCTTCTGCGGCAGTCAGAGCTGAGGGATGAGCTAGCAAGCCCGGCCTAGCAGGAGACAGCAACGTCTGCCGAGAGGTGGGAAAGACGGCAGTGTGTCACGTCATGTGGTCCAAGTGCCCTGGGGTGGGGACGGAGAAGAGAGGAGGGAAAGACGGCAGTGTGTCACATCATGTGGTCCAAGTGCCCTGGGGTGGGGACAGAGAAGAGAGGAGGGAAAGACGGCAGTGTGTCACGTCATGTGGTCCAAGTGCCCTGGGGTGGGGACAGAGAGAGAGGAGGGAAAGACGGCAGTGTGTCACGTCATGTGTCCAAGTGCCTGGGCGGGACGCAGAAGAGAGGAGGGAAAGACGGCAGTGTGTCACGTCATGTGGTCCAAGTGCCCTGGGCGGGGACAGAGAAGAGAGGTGGGAAGGACGGCAGTGTGTCACGTCATGTGGTCCAAGTGCCCTGGGGTGGGGACAGAGAAGAGAGGAGGGAAAGACGGCAGTGTGTCACGTCATGTGGTCCAAGTGCCCTGGGGTGGGGACGCAGAAGAGAGGAGGTTGTGCCAGGCTAGGCATCCCTCTCCAACACTGGCCCTCGACATGCCTGGGCGGCTCTGCAAACTCACTGACATGCGCTTTTGTGTCCTTCCTGCAGCCTCACTATGCGTCAGTGCTGCAAGTCTAGAGCTCCGGCTCATGACGCTTGGGCACCCCGACTGCTGGCAGTGGCCGGCCTAATCCATCGCCGCCAGGAGAGAGGCTTTAGATAGTGTGGTGGCTTTGTCTTGTGTGGATTGGGTAGGTGAGCTACGTTTCCCAGAATTCCCTTCCCTGTGTGTGGCCTTTCGGGTAAGCCACAGCAAGGTTTGAGTGAGATTTGGAGGGCGAAGCTGCCGTTCTGCAGCTCACACACCCTGCTCCTGATCTGCTGACTCACGTGTTCAGGGTGAAGCAGCAGTTGGGCCTGCAATTGCTCTTCCTTCCGCCTCTCACCCTTATGCCAGTTCTGTGTGTTTGGCTCTTGCAGGACAGCCATACCACCAAGGTTGGAGGAAAGAAGGGCTGACCGCATTTCAGACTGTCCTGTGGGTTGTGGGTTTTCCCTTGGTCTTACTTTCCCCTACCTTCCTGACTGCCTGCATGATGGTCTTCAACCTCCAACATTACTTGCACAGAGCCTGCTTACCTAGGCATTGTGATTTCATGTAGTCGAATCCCTGTGATAAGTCTACCTATCCATCCATCCATCCATCCATCCATCCATCCATCCATCCATCCATCCATCCATCCGTCAGCCTGCCTATCTAAGGCTGCACCTGTCAAAATCCCCTAGTGGTTCTGCTTTGCCAGCTGAACCCTGAGTACAGATTGAGATAAAAAAGTGAGCCCCATGAATCCCCCAAGGCTGAGTCCCCTTAAGACTGCTGCCTGGGCACTCGTGATGAGGTGCACTCACACGTTTTCCTAATTTTGGCTCTGGGAAATGGTCCTGATCCCTGCTCTTTACATATCCTACACACATAGGGAGTCATGTTTGCTGTGTGGGTCAATGTATCCGCGTTCAAAGACCTCTTCCAACTATGTATCAAATGTTTCCCTACTGCACATATTTTCTTCCTCCTCATCCCTACTTCTCCTTCTGCACTTGCATGTCTGGGAAATTTGAGACTGGCTGGCCCGGAATCACCCTAAGCCTAATAGACTGACTTCTAGTGGGAGTGAGGTGGGTAGGAAACTTCACGGAACGGCCCAGCTGGGAAATGAGTGCAGAGGACCCTGATGGCAGCCCCGCCAGTGCAGGACAAACAGAGGAAGGAGGGAGCATAATTTGCTTGCTCTTACTGCGGCGTGGGAGCATCACAGACCTGTCACTCAGCCCAAGATCAGAGAAAGTTCCAAACAAGAAGCTAGCTTGGGCCAGCAGCTTCTCTCTGCCCCTGCTAACTGCTGGGAGCTAGCTGGGAGGTTAAGGCTGAGGCCCTGTTCCCCTGTCCCAGGCAGCAGAAACCAATTCCTCCTACTCCCATCACCAAAGATAGAGCCTGGAAACACTAGGACTCCTGACTAATTTGCCCTAAGTCCCTTGCCATATGATGTATCGTGTATTTTGCGTTTTGAGGTTTGATGGGTAGGTTGATGCCTCTTGGTAATTTCTCAGCACAAAATAATGCCAGTGTGGATAAAATTCAATGGTTACTGTATTTTTCCAATTTTTTAGTTATTGTTTTGTACCAGTTCATCACTTTCCTTAGTTAGCATTGGTAGCAGACACAGAAGGGCTGAATACCACCAAGCGGACTATTCTTTCAGTGTTCCTAGCAGGCGTCTCCACTAGGTTTTGCCTGCAAGCCATATCCAGGTGCATCAGATTAGTCGAGAGGGCCATGGGTTCATTTGCATGTGATCTGAAAATCGTTTCTGAGTGCCCTGGTAAACGGTACTGGTGCTTTTCGGGCAATTCCAAGTTTAAACTTTGTCGTTTCACACTAGAGTTCACATGATCATATGCGTGGAAGGAACTTCAAGCAGGGGAGAGAAAGGAGAGGCGTACAGGGAAAGATTCTGCACTGCAGTGCCTGCGGTCTGTTAAACAGGCGCCCTGGGTGGGAAGGGAAGCTGGGCACGCCGGAGCCCGCTCTCGAATGTCGCACTTTGATGCTGGCAGTGGAGTCGGTGGTGGCGGAGGTGCTGAGGTAACAGCCATTTGGGTCTGTCATGCCTCGAAGTCCCTCTGTGGCCTCTCCAGGCCCCAAACACAGTCACGCTTCACCCATTTGATCTCTATGCAGATTTAAATGCTCATTCAATTCATTGATTCACAGACTGTGTGGAAAAATAAGTAATTGAAATTGTCAGTGTTGAATATTGCTGAGTAAATCAACACTCTGCATTCAAATCATTTGAATAAAAGATTCTTCTAGTATCCCTTAGGGAAGATTCAGTCATTCCCCTGACTCCCCTACTCCCTGGTCCCTACTCTTCCCATCCACTCCTCCTAATAACACCAGATTCTGTTAGGAGGTTTATTTTCCTTGCCAACAGCCTGCGGGCTTAAAAACAGAGCTCTCTCTTTCCTTTTGCTGAGTTAAAAGACGTCTCTGTCTGATTTCCTTAGGGGTTGGTATAGTTTTCTCCAACTTTTTCTTCTCTCTCCCCTATCTCCCTCTGTCTTTCCTATGCCTGCCTTTACTTTCTGTTTTAGTTTCCCATGTCCCTCCCCCGTCTGTGCTCTGCAGAGAATGCCCGTGCAGCAGGGCGGCGGGGCAGAGGGAGGGCGAGGCGTGCAGGCACCGCGCGGGCACGGCTGCGGGAGGGCGCGCATGCGCAGGCGCCTGTGCCGGTGGCACAGCGTCCGGAGATCACACGCTCCGGGAAACCTGCGTGCTGCAGCCGGATCCACGCCAGCAGGCTTGAGTTGCGTTAGACAGTAAGAGCAGTGAGTGGCAGCTCTGGGGCTGTAGGAGACTTTTTGGAGTAAAGCGAGACCTGGCTTGGCTAGGCGCAGGAAGGGGCAGATCTGCCAGATGCCCTGGGCCCAGGAGCGACAGGGCGGCCAGGGTGCGGGGTGCAGGGTGCGGGGTTGATGGACCAGCATGTCAGTGCCAGAGAGAGAGCAGTCAGCTTTACGTCAGGCCCCAGGGAGTCCACGAGACAACTGTTTTGTATTTTTCTATTCAACCTGTATTTATTTGTTCTTCCTTTAAGGCAATCAAAGTGCTTTCTGTGCCCCCTGCAGTAGTCAGTGGATCCTGTGTTTTGTCCGCCCTCTGAGCTGAGGATGGGGTGACAGATGCCAAGCATTCTGGATCAGCATCTAACAACCCATGTTCAGTTCCTGTGAATTCGTCTCTAATTCAGGTCAATCCTTATATCTTTTTGAGAATCGAAATGATCAGCAACCTCATTTTATTGATGGGCACAAGCACCAGAGAGCAAGAGGGCATTTGCAGCTCTCCACTAGCGCTGGCCCTTCCTAGGCCCTGAGGGGCCCTAGTGATGTGTCCGTATGACTATACATTCTGAACATTGAATGTTTTTTTAACTGCAGTTGGTGAAGATCACTGTCTCTTTCAATTCCAAGATCCCCCGTCCTACTTCCTGCTGTGCGGAGAGACAATGGAACACCCATGGTCATTTTGGAGCCTGGCGGAGGGCATGGAGCGAGACTCGATGAGCTTGGGTTTAGTGGCTGTGTAAGTCTAGGCCGCTATCACGTGCATTCGTAGTTAAGTCACTAACAGCTGCCCCATGTAGGGATGGCTTCCAGGGACATTTCTGCCACCTGCTGTGCCCACCCCCAGCCTCCAAAGCTGTAGGGCTGGAAGTCATGTGGCAGTGTGATGTCCTACGGTGCCTGCGGCAGTATGTGTGTGTTAGTAGAGAAGGAGCAAGGTTTGGAATGTACGGAGTTAGAAGCTAGTCTGTGGAAAATTCTTTTAAATCCTATAGCCCACTTACAACAGAAACTTGGTAGAAGTTTTTCCAAATTTGTTAACAATCCTAAAAATTTACATGACGTTGCTGATTACAAGTTGTCAAACTGAAACTTTTCTAAATTACCAATAATAAACAAATACCCATCAATTATGCTAAAGAAAAGACTAAACTATCTTGATATTCTTGAAACTTAAAAAATTGTTTCCATATGCATTTAATAAAGTACGAAAAAGATGTTATATAGGGATGTGTCAGGCAATTAGTAAAAGTATTAAATTATTTAATTTTTTGATGTATGTTGCATTTGTCAGTTTCTAAAAATGTGTAATTGTGATTTCTTATTCTAAACAAATATTCACTTTTATACCTAATTTTGAATTTATAATTTTGTATTCTTTTTTAAAAGAAAAATTCCCAAATTGTGTGTCAGGTTCTGTAAATCCCGAACCTGACCCTGGAAGTTTGACCCCTCCTCGGCTGTTTGGTGCCTGCCCTGAAAGGCAGACTCTGCCTGCGCGGCTGGAAGCCTGGTGCTCAAGCTGCAGGCAGATCCGTGAGTGGCCCAAGTCATTTGTTTAAATTTTTCATGCACAGAACTAAAATCTCCTGGAGTATCTTGCCTTTCCTAAGACTTTAAAAAATTTTTTTCAGTCAGGGGTAAAGCCATAGGAGATTTAATGGGATAATCTGACTGTAGTTGAAAATTGGATGCTACCTAATTGTGTGAATTTCACCAAGTCAATAAATATATCTTTTTTGACCCCAATTTCTTCATCTCTCATCTGGGCATAATTATGATGGTCCACCTCTCTTACAGGGTTATGGTGGGTATGACTGGGATTAAAGGAGAGGTTAAAGTTTCTGAAAAGTACAGAGTGTTTTGCAAACAGAAGGAATTGTGTTTTATTTATAAAGTCAAAGCACCCATCTTCTAAACCTGAGATTTTAGGCACTGAGATTGGAATTCCAAGTGAGTCAATATTTTCTGCATTTGTTCCTCTGACAATCACAACACTGTGTGTTGTATAGGTCTGGCGCAAAAAGCCGTGGTGCCCTGATTGTGGCAGGCGTGACAGGGCAAGCAACCATCTCGCTAGATGTTGTGGTTGTTCAAGGATTTGGTGTATAAGGGGGGCTTAATCCAATTCTCTTTCTCAAGCGCTGCTTCATCGAGGTGAGTTTCTCCCTCTACACTGAATCTTCTGATACTTCTAATTGACTTGAAAGTATCTTGTGTCTCCTTGGAAATGTCACCTAGCCCTTTTCAAGTATACTTCCAGGCAACTAGGATCAATACATCGCTTAGGTTAAGCATATTAGATAGTGATTGACAGCCCAAATGGCATATGCTTCAGCAGCTAGCATCAGTTCTGTGCTTAGGACCTGCTGCAACCCATTCATATCTAGGAGCAGGTGTCAACAACCTAGGAAGCAACGTCTTGAGAAGAGGTGTAGCCTGGAGGCAGACACAGTGGAGTTGATCACAGCTGGCCTCTATATTTCAGCTGGTCAGAGGGCTTGGAATTCAGAGTCACTTCCAATTAAACAGTTATTTGCTGGGCACCTATTTTGTTCCAGACATTCTGTTGTACGTGATGGGATATAACGAGAATCAAGCTTGTCGGTCCCTGTAATGAGCTTACAGTATAGTCGTGGGTTAAACTCATACACAACATGCTCATGTCAATTGGGCTAATGGCTGTAACAGCAGCAGGAAAAAAACTTCCAACATCCAAGGGAGGAATAGATAATGTCCTGTCCATTTGGCCTTCAATTTTCTTTATTTGAACAGTGTGGAAGGCCTGAGTAAGAAGAGACTTAGGTTGAAAAATTGCAAATTAACCCTTACACCAGCTCAGCGCACAGATGACTTGTTCTTTCCATTTAACCATCCAATAGTCATTTCCCTAATGTGCTACTCACCTTACCTGGCCCTACTTAAAGTAAAGAATATTCACTTCCTGACTTCAGGGAGTCGCTGGTCTAATACCATGGTCTTCCATGTGTGCAGACAGCACTGCTGGCTCTTGGGGGCAGGACGTGTCCTGCTGGGCAGCACAGCGGAGCAGCTCTAGGGGTTATGTCTGTGGACATGGGCCACCACAGCCTGGCCCATGTCATGGTTGAACATGCAACTTTGGCTTCATTTGTTGTGGCCCAAGCACCTGACAACCATTGTCTCCTACAGAGCCCTGCTATTCCTGGGGCTTTTGTTCTTCTAAGTTGAAGGGCAGTAGAGCGAATAAACACAGACAAAAAGGTGTCTTCTCTGTGAAGGTACAAGGGAGGGGAATGGAGAGCCACGGCCTTGGAGTAGAAGACCTGGATTCTAGTCCCACCTTAGCTGCCATGAGTGGCTTTTTTCCTGCCCTCCCCAACTCTTCTGATACATTCTCAAGCAGGTTGGGGAGGTGTGTGTGTATGTGTGCATTTCTAGACATCACTACCTTTACCTGCAGGTCAAAGGCTTGGCTCTGTCTAGATGGACTCAAGAGGGTTTGGGCAGTGATGGCAGTGAGCCCGGGACAAGCTCCGCGGCGGCAGTCCTGTACTTCCCCCCGTGCCGGGCCACCTCCTCTATTCTCCTGCTCTTTGACTCCCATGCTTGTGAATCTCGCCTTGGCTAACTGCTCGCAGGCCACTCTGGCAGCTCCAGCCAGCCTCCTCCTCACTGTTTGTGGGGCCCTGTGCACTGCTGCGCTTCTGGTTCCCCTCATGCCTGGATTTCCTGTGAGTTTATGTCTTAAGGTGACTCTTTCCATGCAGGTCATGGAAGAAGGGACTTATTGAGATTGGAGACCCTGAAATTCACTAAGTAAAAGGGGCACTGGTTAAAGGATCTAATGAATGTAAAGCACTCAGCATGGTCCTTTCAAGTAGGGCACGCCCAATAAATCCTATTATTATTATTGGTAGTGGTAGTAATAATTCTGTTATTGTTGTCTATTATTATCATCATTATCATTATTCAACACCTGTTATCTTGCCTCTACTCTGTGAGAGATAGGGACCTATAGCAATTTTAATGTGGTTACAAATCTCCCAAGGATCTTGTTAAAATGATGATTTTTATTCAGAAGCTCTGAGCTCCTGAAATTTTAACAAGCTGTCAGATGATGCTAATATTCATGGTCCATGGGCCACATTTTGAGTTGCAAAGGCCTAGGGGTTCTCAAAAAGGCAGAAGCCTAAAGGTAGGGTCTTGAGGAAAGAGAATAGGATTGGGGATGTTTGGTCTCTGAAGTCAGGAACATAGGCGGGAGACAGTACTGTTGGAACCTTTGTAAGAGCCCAAGTCTATAATTTTTGTGGTTATGGTTGCGTGCTCCCAGTGAGGGGAGGAGGGTGCGTGTATGCAGCGTGCATTCTGACGCGCCTGGGCCAGCGGGCCAGCCCAGAGTCAGCTTTTCTGTACCAGGCCTGTATCATCTTTTCTTTGATGAGGGTTTCTCCACCCTCGCAGATAATTTTGTGTTTATTGTTCTTTTTGGCTCCCAAGGCAAATCTTACGAGATGCATGTTTGAGCTGGAGGAGCTGGGATCTCTAGGGGAGCAGTCGGGTAAGACTCCCAAGCCACACAGATCCTACAGGCAGGAAATGCCCTGGTTTCCTTACTAGAGACAGCAGCAGGGTGTGACAGTGGTCCTTCTGCTGACCAATATGCATGGCTCTAAAATATCATCAGGGCCTCAAGATGGCAGCTTTGGCAGAACAGCAGAAAGCAACATCAACTAGATGACTAAAGCTAAGCTCTTGATTCAGAGTCAACTTCGTGCTGTCTCTCAACACAAAGATGAGATGCATGCCCAGAGCTTGGCGACGTCTACTGAGCAAGTTTCGAACCCTGCCACGCCACAACCCTAAGCCAGTGATCCAGAGGATGGACATAGAGGATCCCTCCCCGCTTGAGCTCAGAAGTATAAAAATGCAAGTGACTACATTTATCACTTGACATATTCCCAAATGTCCTTGGGCATAACCATGCCCAATGGGCATGAAGCCAGAAATGAGATCATAATTGATGAAAATAAAGTGTTATGCCCTGAGATAGTTTTTATCAGGAAAGGAAGGGAGAGAGTGATGCTATTCTGTGTCAGCAAACTGGAACTTTCTATTTTGGTTATTTTAAATAGCTTACTAGGAGATGGAAGCCGCACTTTATGAAAAGTCAACATCAGAGGATTACCTAGACTTTTATCATGTAGTCAAGATGGGACATATTCTAATTGGCTCATTATGTATCCACAGTGGCGCCAAATGAAACGCTCAATTTTTAATGGCTTTAGTCAATAAAAAATAAGACTTGTTGTTCCTATTATGTCCTTTGAAATAAAAGCCCTTCAAATGATCCTTGTGAGGAATTTTTGTAGCTAACTGCCTTTGTACGTTGTGAAGAAGGACTTTCATATTAATGTAAGCCAGTCTAAAGCAGAGTTTCCCATGATTTACTGTGTGGATGAAGGGGTTAATTTTCAGGTCTCTTCTCCAATGTACTGTAAATATGAAAACAAGAGCAAGGAAAGCAACTTCTTTCAAATTTAGGATGATAGGTAGCTCATACCTTTCCTTCAGCTCATGAGTTCACTTTGCAACAAAGGGTTGAGGAATTTCCTGCTGGCGGTGCATACATCACAACAATCTCCAAACCCAAATGAAGGCCCAGCTCCATCAGGAATAACAAACGTCCAGGCTGTTTCAGACCATAATTTATTTCACTTCCCAGAGTTCATCACATGATCCGCTACCACTGCTCATTTTCTGAAAATAATTTCTCTAGATGTCCATGGGCTTCCAACTTTCATCACCCAGAACAGTAAAGAATAGTCACATCCTCTCACATAATTTATCCCAGTGTCCACAAATCTCTCCAGGTCTCCACAAACAAAGCAGAATGCAAAATGAGGAATACAATTGTTCATCAGTGCATGGGCATGTCTCCAAGTACATAATAGAAAATGTGAATAAAGGAGAAAATTGTGGGCTTGGGACTTTTATCCAGTGGCTCTGATTTTACTCTTGTCTCACTGGAAGCCAAATGGGCCTCTGGCTGTAGATAGAGTTCCATTGTTTCTAATATGAAATTTCCATTGTGGATTATCTGATGCAGATTGCTGTAAAATCAAACTTTGGGATCCTGTGTCAGTTGTCTTGGGAAATACCACGAGAAAAAGTAAACAGAGTTAGACTCATGTTTCAGGCCAGAAATAAGAAGGAAAGTTTAGGCCTTGCAAGAAGAGCATGCCCAACATCTCCAGACAGTCTATGTTGGCTTCAGAGACACTGGTATTTGTGGTTGATACCATGGATCAGGTTGGTACCAGAAATCAGGTATATCATGGCCTGGATTAATATGACTACACATTTTCTTGCATTTACTCTCAGATAAATTCTACATTAGGAAAAGCTGGAGGAGGGAAATGCAGTGAAAAGTTAAACATGAGTATCATAAAACTCAGTAAAATGAGTCCCATGGATGAAGCCAGTCTAAAGTTGTTCTTATGCTTTGGGGAAGTGAATCAAATGCAGCCAGTGAATACAAAAGAAATAAATATATCATTATCTGGGAATTTGTTTAGCAAGAACCAATTACTCACCAAGTTCCTGCCTGTCCAATTCCTCCTCCCACGTCAAGCCCATTGTACATCCTACTGAAGAGCCGCCATTGGCCGGCTGTCCCCTCGCCTCTTGCCACCCGCATCTGCCCATTGCTCCTTCTCTGCCAACCAGAGGGTTTAGTCGCCCCTTCTTCTCAGTACCTCTGTCTTGTGCTTGCTGTCATCCCAAAATAGCTCACTTTTTTATATCATTTATTACTCATTTCCCTCCCATATTTGACTATGCCATAGTCACTTTTGCGACTGTGCCCAGCACACTGCTGCTCATGTAACAGGGCTTTACATGAATTCATTGAGTGAATAGATTTGGAACTAAAAGGAAAATCCCATTTTCAAATATTCTGTGTAAATATAGATACACACAGGTTAGTTTCTGAGCTGTCTTTTATAAATTAGAATCTATAGGTTAATCATTATCTATACATAGGGCTCTTTGTTCTTGATTATAAGCTTGTTGATTTTAGGAATAATTTTAAAACTGTTTTCTTTCTTTCTCATATATTTCCAGTGGAGTGCTAGAAATATATAAATTTGAATTTAATTAAACTTAATTAAGAATAATTCTCCCTCTGGTATAAATTTTTTTTCTCTGTGAGTTACACTGGCTCTTTTCAAGGTGTCTGGAATACTTTCTGGTGTCCTGGAATGGACCACTGCTAAATTATATCCTTTGCTGTCAAAAGAGAACTTATCCTTAGAAAAGTATGGCATTTCCTTTTAGTAAGGTGTTTCTATGATGTTCTGCAAACCTACCAGATTAGCATGGCTTTACTTATAAGTGACAGTAAGTGAGGAATGGTAGATATTATTTGAATAATTAATGTTCACAACCAGCTTAGGCAAAGGGGTTTGTCTTGTGCCCAGTTATCTGCTGGCTGCCCTAGTCCGTGTGGTTTTGGATGAATCACGTCCTTGGTTGTTTAGATATGGTGAGGTCCTGGGCTCAGGAAGATTTCACATTTTCTTCAATGAAGGTCAGTGGCCTTTTCCGTCGTTTCTGTCTCTTAAGTGTCCTAGGGCCCCTCTCCCCTTCCCTAAAAGAAGGAGAGACTGTAGGTGCCTGAGAAGAAACGAGGCAAAAGTCTCCATCTTCGCTGTCTTTGACAGGGTGTGCCTGCTGCACGTCTCACTGAAATCAAGGGGTTATGAATGTGCCTCTAAGCGGCAGCTGCTGTGTGTTCTTATGATGGGTGGGAAATTAATTTCTTATCTGGAGGTGTTGGATTATCCATTTCGCCACATCTCAGGGAGAGCCTATAATTCTCCCAGACTGCTGTGCTCCTAAGTTACTTTTGCCTTCACTTTTCTCCCTTTATTTCTCTGTCTCCCTTTCTCCCTGTGTTTGGTCATCTTGCAAAGAGGGCTTTCTTGGTGGTGTTCGAGGGCTCATCACATGGGCTGTCAGCGGTCAGGGATGACTTGATCTCCTCAGCGCTTACTCCCTTGTCTCCAGCTCTGTCTCATCTCCAATGTATAAAATATTATTTTGAATTGTTTTTGAGCAGGATGAGGTGTATGGTGTCTTAAGAGTGGGAACTGACACATACCGTTAGCTTTGGGGAAATTGCCTGCAGTACTGGCCCTCCTTCCTGCTGTGCGGATCTGGGAGACTGCCAGGCCTGACGTCCTTGGTCTGTAAGGGTTTCTTCCCAGCCTCAGGAAGCTGTAGATTGCACTAGCAGTAGCAGGAGGTACAAAGGCAAGGAAAAGAGGCAAAACTGTATGAGGCATTCTTCCAGTTCATTACCCATGGGATTATTTAAAACAATTTTACCCAATTGTTTTATTTAACTTTTATGTCTTTCAGTGATGTGTTCAGATCTTCCACCATTTGGCCTAGAAAGAATAAAATCATCATACCAACATTAGTTATTATTCTGTCCATTTTAGGCAAAAAAGGGGATGATCTGAAAACATCTTTAATGTTGATAGGATGATTTACAGTTTTCAGAACACTGCTGCATATTCTGTCTCATGCGATTTTCAAAATAGCCCTGTAACATAGGAAAGACTGATAAAATTCATTATTACTGCCTGTTCCTTCCTTCATCCTTTCTGTATTTTTACATAACACCCAAACTAGGTGAACTTTTAAGCCAGTTTCTGCCATTCTGCTCCACCAGTGGAAGTGAAATCCAGGTAGGTGAAATGACTTGCCTAAAGTCCTTGGATAAAGTTGAATAATTTAATCTCAAACCCATGCTGTCCATATACTTAAGAAAAATTAACCTTTTTATTTTGAGATAAATGTAGGTTCACATGCAG